AAACCCAGCCGTACTAGGCTCGCTTGCCAAAGCCTCCTCTCCATCCCCCAACTTCGCAAAGTCGGAAGATACGCATAAGCTTAAGACACTAGAATCATGCAATTCACCGACCACGCGCCGTACGCGGTCCGTGCGCAGATCCCACTCCCGAACAGTACGGTCCTTCGATCCCGTAAATAGCACCTGCAGGGGTGCGGACCGACCATCAAGCCCTGCTGGATACGTCCATAACCAAAGACAATACACTGCAGCGCTGTGTCCGCCGGCATCTGCGCCAGGCAGTATACGCCTGCGATATGCGCCCTGGCAGAAACGATTGTGCAGGAGCATGTGCGTCTGGTGGAGAAGCTTATAGTCCGGCGCAAGATGCGCACTTCGTGGCAAAACGCCATGCTGCGATGTGATACGGGATATCGGAGTGATAGCGCTTGTCGAAGAGGAAGATAACGCAGCTGAAGTGATAGGTATGAGGAGATGGGATAGACCCTGTGCTTCAATATCGTCGATGTTCATCGGCATGGACGTCCAGTCCACTGAGTCGTCCCCTATGAAATCGATGACATCTCCTGCGCCTTCACCGCTCCCTTCGTCCTCATCCTCCTCTTCGTCGCCCATACCTTCATCTTCATCCCTTTCTTCGCGAATCACTGCATCCGCAGGATCTGCATCACCAAGTCCATCCCAAGGGGTGGGCGCAGCAACGTCCGTGCGCCATTCCCAGCCGTGTGCATAGCAAAGACGACGCCAAAGTACTTGGTCTGTTGCGAGGGTGTGCCAACGTTTAGAAACAAGAGAGCACGCGAGCAAGGAGGCCGCTGGAAGATACGTGAAGATGAAAAGAGATAGTTCTGTGGGAAGGGCCTAAAATAATCGATTTATCAGTCAGGGCTGCTGGACAGAAAACGTCAGACTCACCCCTACGACATCGAACTGCAACAGAGGGGTCATTCTCCGCTGCAGACTTGCAAGCACAGAACGAGGGAGACACTCGAGGAGCTTGTAAGTTAGTTCTGTGAACGTTCATGCATCGCATTTTGAGTGAGTGGAGAGGGGTGCAAGAAACGAGGTGGTCAAATGTAGTTCGTCATTCGGTAGATCAGATACGAACCTTCGCGCTCCCTATCATTCGATGCCATGGTAGCCAAATGCCAGTCAAGGCTCCGTGCGATGCCCTTGCCTTTGACGTCTACCGGTGATTCCATCCAGGTACCACCTGGTGGAATTCGTTGCTCATGGATACCTGCACCCTTGTTAAACTGCAAGCCAGTTCGGTAGTTCGCTGGTGGACGAGCTATCCCCAGCTCCGAGCTGGTCGCTTCGTTGGCAGTGCTGCAGTGTTGTGAGAATGCGAGCTTGAGCCCTTTGATATCTGCATCTGAAAACCCATTATCGTTGGGACTTATCATGATTTCTGGTGGGGAGTCGATGCGCTGTAGTAGTAGTACAGGAGGTCTGGGTGCGCAGCCAGATGCCTCTAGAGAGTGTATGTATGCTCAAACGTGAAGGGAAGTGTGGACCTAAACCGTAATGATATGGCCTAAAATGGAAATATCTTCTTCCAATCATATAGACATTTCGACAGCCGCCTTTTTGTAATCGTACCGAGGCCAGCGGGGCCCCAGATATGCGTTTACGTGAAAGTCTGCATGTAAGGTTGTCGAGAATTTTTCGTATTCTCTGACATGGCGTGGGGCTGAGATAATTTACTGAGAAGGCAAGAAAGTTCGTCTCATTATATTCACTATATTGTAACTTCGCCAGTCATGCACGGGCCATGTCCACTGTTCGGACATCACGCAGACCTGTTCGATGACCTTGGAAAATGTTAAGAAACGCTCAAACATAAAGAGCATGTCGGTCTATATCAAGTTTATATATATGTGAAGGCCTGCTTATTGGGTCTGCTTGCCATCGTTGCCCCAATAGCCTAAAAAGAAGGTTGGAATGCCAGACAGATAGAACAAACGTGACACAGGGTTTGTCCCTTGACACCAGATACTCTGATAGATTGTCTACAACATACTATTGGTTAACAATCTGATATCAGTTTATCATTTTCAACGAACCATACCTTTGAGCACAAATCACTTGATTGCATGCTTGCGAAAAATACTCGAGTATGATATCGGGCGCGCGCAAGGAGGTCCCGTCTATCCGAGACGTCTCTCGTAAAAATATACTGCACTGTGCGGCGTGGACGGGAATCAGAGGTCGAATGGCGTGAAGTGTGCGTCATCCCAACAGATTGCATAAGTGTGGAGTCCTTGGGAGAAAGTAATACTTCCTTGCATGAGAGGCGGGCCATAGGCAAAGGCACAATGGTAGACCCTGGTTCAAAATACCCGATCAATGCGAAGAGCAGCAAGTGTCGTAAGCATCATGAGATTGAGAAGGCCCTGCCATTCTCGTAAGATTGCTACGATAAACTGAGACGTCACCCCCCTCTGTAACATCAGACGTTTCCAGGTAGATCATGTGTCAAGTCCACGTGGCATAGAATGGGTGAAGTCAATAATAAGGACCAGTAATGGGGCAACAGGCTGCGACCTGGATGCACAAACCCAGGGTGCAGAGAACCTGAATAATGCTCAGACTGATCAGAAGGTTGTGAAGCGAGCGACGCACCACTCCATCATGAAAGTTCAATGAAAACCACGCGTCTGCAGCAATGAGGCAATGGCTCGAAAGAGTGTGGATTTGATTGTCAACATAGACTGAGGCTGTGGTAAAGAACTTCTATGGAACCATCATGATGTCTACAGCTGCACAGCAAATCAGACGTGTATTTAATAACGAGGACAGGAGATTCAGCGATAAGACCACGACCCACTATAGCCCATGTAAGTGTTTGCTCACCGCACAACGCTTCCGCTGACGGAGACAGAAAAAAGCTTGGAGCTCAAATGACATCCTGGATCCGTGGAGACAATGAACGCGATTCGATAATATCCCAGAGGCACGAAGACGAGACATTGTTCCCCTTCAGAGACGCTTTCCCCTTCAGTGATGTATCCTCCTTGAGTGATGTATTGGCAATATCCACCGCTCACAATGCATTATTCAAAGGGTCAGTCCTCTTTAAAGGCCACGAATCATATGTAAGGGACGTAGCATTCATTCCTGGCACCCGTCTCCTTGTCACTTGCTCTGAAGACAAAAGTATTCGGCTATGGGATTTGGACACGGGGAAACAAGTGGGAAAGCCTTTGTTGGGTCAAGATTACGTTGTCTGGGTAGTTGCAGCGTCCCTTGATGGACGTTGGATTGCGAGTGGAGGAGGAAATGGAAGCATCCTGGTCTGGGAAGTTGCGACAAAGAAGAGCGTGCCGATATCATTCAAGGGTCACGAGAGTGGCGTCGAGGGCGTCGTATTTGCACCAGACGCCGAGACATTTGCAAGTGCATCGATAGACGAAACGGTATGCGTATGGAAGAGGGAGACGGGCAAAGTACTCCTTGGGCCACTCCGAGTAGGCAGCTGGGCATACTCGGTGTCGTACTCCCCGGATGGGACAAAACTAGTAGCAGGCACCCAAAAACACATCATCATGTGGAATTCAGCAACTGGAGAAGAATTGCTGAAAATAGAACAGCGGGCATTCAGAATCGCATTCACTCCAGATGGTCACCGACTCGTGAGTGGAAACTGGAAAGACATACGAATATCAGATGCTACAACCGGAAACATCATCAAACAGTTCGACGCCCACACCCGCCACAACTTTGTCTCGCTAGCCATTGCTCCCAATGGCACAAAATTCGCCACCACGTCACACGACAGGACGACGCGGTTCTTTGACCTGACCACATTCAAACCCATCGGCGAGTCACTCGAGCATCCTGATGAAGTCTGGGGTGTAGCCTTTTCCGAGGACAGCCAGCTTATCGCCACTGGCTGTCGCGACAAGCTCGTTCGCACATGGACAGTTCCTCAAAGTCAATCAGAGGAGTCTCAACAGGCAAGCAATTTCCGTCTTTTTTTCACCATCCCTAAACATTCTTTCGGCAGGAGATCTCAGACTTGACATTACCAGACGATGAATTTTTTGATGTTAGTCCTCATCTAAGTTCATCTTGAAGTATGGCTGATCCCATCCCCAGATTTATCCGCCCCGCCGTCCCAACCACATTCCATACGGAATGTCACAGCGCTCTGCACCACGGTCTCGCATCATGGCGTTAGTAAATCGGCTACCATTTCGCAGGAAATCACAGCAAGCATACCCGTCAGCCGGACATCTCCATCACCCCCAAAAGGCACAATTCCTACAGCACCTTCCTTTCCGTCGGTCGATGCCCAGTTTGGCCCAGCCACCAGTCGTCAACGTCGCAGCTGGGCACGCTACGGAGGTAAGCTGGATCTTATTGCTTCTTTCCTGTTTGATGTTTAGCACTCTACAGCGTGTCGTTGTTATCTCCGTGCCTCATCACAAGAAGGCTAATGACACTCGACGCCCGCCTAGAGAAGAGCCTGTATTGCATGACACGGCACAAAGTGACACAACGTCCGTGGTCTCTTACGCCGATTCACTCCCGAATGTGCATTGGGTCATGGCATTCCTCTGCTACCTCTCCTGCTGGTCTGATGGCAGACTGAGGATACCTCCTCGATGGGACTTGGAGCCCACCCAGTCGTCACACCAGCATAATGGTGGGGATGCTCACGCTCGCAGATAGCTCATTGTGCTTTCACTTCTGTCCACTTGCATTTCTTGAATTTCCACTGTCTGCATTGATTGCTTTGATCTCGACACTTCTATACATGGATACCAAATTTGATGCCACGGTTGTACACCATTGTCGTTATGTACTTTTAGCCTATCGTAGAGATAGTTCTACACACGCAGTTGTAGATAGTGATGTATCCTGGCGTCCCGTTTATAATTCTCGAGTGGTATGTAATATACTTAGGTGTTGACAAAATACGAGATGCAGCCCATATCCTCTATGCACATAAAGGAAATGCCACCACAAAAAAGTACGTACATAAATAATATAGATCAAGGTGTCTGAGAAGCATGCTCCCAGCTGCCGTCTCCGCTGCCGCTGCCGCTCCCAGGGCTTAAAGATCTAACATCGGGACTCGCATCATGCTCCCCTTGAGGCTCGTCTCTGTACACGGGGGCAGGGCCAGCAGCTGACGGCTCATCGTCGTCCAAGAACCCAGAGTGAAACCCTACACCATGCAACCGAGTCCCCTCATCTGCATCCTCGTCATCCGACAGCTCTCCAAACGCATCATACAGCTCCTTGGCACGGGGCCTGCCTTGCCTTGAGACCGAGTTCATCTGCAGTTCATCGCCCGCACTAAGCGCAGCGTACGCCCGATGCTTCACGCGGCGTCTCCAGAAGAACACTGCTGCACCAACACCAAAGAGCACTACTGTGCCAACAGCGCCGAAGAACCATTTCTGGCTAGACACGAGGTTGGACATGTCTGAGAACCACCCTTCGTCTGGTGTGGGCGTCATCGTTGCGGTCGCGGGTACGGACGGGGATGGGAACGCAGGTTTGTTGGCTTCGCCTTCGGCAGTACCGTGATCGTCTGGGAGACCAGAAGTGGGCTTAGGATGAGATTTGCTTGATGTCGATGTGGGGATGTTAATTGCGTCGTCGTCAGCTGTGGAAGGAAGCTGATACTCTGAAAGCGGAAGAACGTAAGTTGTTAAGATACTGGGATCGATGGATGAGCCCCAGAACATGAGACGCCAGCCATGGAAGGTTCCATTGTGCCCTTCGGATGATTGATCAGAGACCTTGAGCGTCCAGGTGCCAAGCGCATTTTCACCCCTACGAAAACACTCAACAACCTTGAATGAGTCTTGTAAAACACAACAATCATACCAGTGCTTGACGGACATGAATCTCCACCCTCTGAAACCAGTCCTGTCGCGGTCACCATCCCGCTTAGCTGCAAGAACGCTGCGTACCCCACCAGGGCTCGTAAGCTCGACTTCGACATCCCCACGCTTGGTGTGAGATATCCAGACTCTAACCGTCACGTGCTCCAACCCCTCAAAGTTGTGCGTGTCAAGCATGTCTTGCGTCACCGTGAACGAGCTCATGACACCTCCAGGGATAATCAACTGCCCGCCCTCCATGTCCCCGTCCTCTGTGAGTAAGGTGCCGTTGTTGATCTGCACAGCAGGAGGGTGGAAGCGCGCTTGCGGTTTCACAAGCTGCCAATCCTGTGCTGCTTGAATATAGGCGTATGCATTGAGCTGCCCGAAGCCATATTTGTACGAGTACATCTGTCCAGAAGCCATGGGTTCCCAGTCAGGATCTTCAGGGTTTATCATCTGGGCGGTGTTCACGCAAAGATGTTGTATGTCTCGCCATGTCAGGTCAGGCCTGTCATGAAAAAAAATGTTAATGCAAGTCCTGTGAAGGGATAAAAGTCTCACCGAACTTGAAGCACCAAAGCAAATACACCAGCTGCATTGGGGGCGGCGGCAGAGGTACCACCGTGATTGCTGGAACATTTGTTATTGGTGTCAGTAGTGACCTTCGAATAACTTCAGTTGGCTTCGACGTGCGGAATCGCAGGCTTACGATATGTTGACCGCTCCCTGAACTGTATGCTACAACCATATTGGCAGAGCAGGGTTCAGAATAATATGGGTGTAGGCCTTTAAAGTCTACGGCTGAGACTGTGACGGAGTATATGCTGTTGGTGTACCCATCGAAATTGCATTGGTCTCCTTGCGCAGCCCCGTTTCCGCTGGCAAAAACATATATTGAACCTTTCCCTTCCCTACCGTTTTGTACGCCGTTTACAAAAGCTTTTTCGATGATATATTCCGGCGCTTCCATCGACTTGCCATCATCAGGTGGTCCCCAACTGCAACTAAAGATGGAGACATTGTGCAAGCCGTAGTTCAAGGCAGCCGCCTCGTCGGAGTCGGTTATAGGTCCTGATAATATGCGTACGCCGGCAACTTTTGACTTGTAAGCGAGTCCGACACCGCAGACATCGTTTTTGACTGCGGCGACCTGACCAGCACAGCGTGTGCCATGATTATCATTAGAAAGAACTGGGGTGGGCAAATCGGTATGGTCGTTAAAGTCATATGAATTGTCAGCATCCTTTGAGAAAGTCAGCGCCAAAATGAATCACACAGAGTATAGCGCACAAAGTTTTCAGCCAAGTCCCGACTCCGGTAGTCCAATCCATCATCCACCAACGAAGTAATGATACCTTCCCCCGTGATGCCCATTTCCCACACACCCGTCACGTTCATCATATGCTCGGGGTACTGGTCGTTAACGATATGCCATTGCTGCGTAAATAGGGGGTCCACAAATCCAAGTTGTTCTGCAATAATCTCAGAGGCTTTCGGTCGAGGGTCGTCGGGAGTCACGGGAGGTGGTGCACGTTCTAGGAAAGAGCCATCTCGCTTTGTCCGTTGGCGGGGTATCTGAGGGGATAAATATTTTATGGACGATAATATGCGATGTGCACGGGCTTGGCGACCCGCCCGCGGATATAAACTAGTGGAATGGGCTGCAAGGATGGCCAAATCCTCGAACTTGCTAAGTACTCTGTCTGATGCTGTCCTTGGAGAAACGCTGGACATGAGCTTTGCGGAGCGCACGAGCCATATGTTTCGCAATTCCCCGACCTGTTCGACGAGTTCCACTCCAAGTTCTTCGGTGCATTCATTTAGAGTTGCACCTGCGGAAGGGTAATGCTCGAGTACATAATAATCGTGTGTTGTATAAGAGCGCTTGGCTGGTTGTGAAGCGCAGATGCATTGCTGAATCAAAAAAGCTAGTAGAAGCTGGAGGGGCAGTCGCATGACAGTTGTCAACAACTGGGAATGACTGCGAGCGATTTTGCTACCGACTATCTCGGATAATTATACTATTGCCACGTGCCAGTGGTAACAAAGCGCAAACAGAAGATCAGCCCTCGGTCGACCCCTCAAATCATCCTGTTTTGTTACTAAACTTTTCGGTTAAGTATAGATCCCTTAGTAGTTGGTATTTGTTACTCCTGAGCCTTTATCTTCGTACGGTGACCCACCAAGCATAATTTATGTCGAAGAAGCGGCACTTTGGGCCTATGTCTTCCCGCACATCATCCTCGAAAATGGTCTCGAAGAGGGTCGCAGAGCATGAGCCCCAGTCCTCACGCGTCGGAAAGAAAAGAAGGAAGAGGTTACTTTCACGCGTAGTAAGCTAGCCACTCCATGACCTCAAGCTGATATAAAAAGGTGGTTGTGAGCAGGTTGATTCAGACGCATCAGAAGAATCAACCCTCGTTGTACGCAACTCGTCCGTGCTCAATGAGGTGGCACAGCCACCACCACAGCATTTTGAACCAAAGGAACTCGCATCACCTGAAGGCACGTCTATCTGAATATCTCGCATCGTCTCCTTCACATTTGTTTTAGAAACGCTGATTTATGTCCCTCCCGACGACGAATATGACGAGGACGAGAACTTTCAGGTCATAGGCGAAACCGACCCCACTGAACAGTCTGACTGTGGCAATTCTGAGGGTGTACCCGTACGCATATTAACAGATTTCGCCATATACGAGTGCGCAGAACAACAGCTAGTGCCTATTGGTGAACTACTTAACGTCAACCTTGCGGTGAACAACAAGATGTACCGTGCCTCGGGTTTTGTGAAATCTCATATGGATGACGATGAATACTATGATGATAACTACGACGATGAGGATAACAGGAATGGTATGTCTAACGACGAGGATTGCCTCCAACGGATTCGTTTGACAGAGATCCGGAAGTTCACGATTCACGACATACGACAGCGTTCTAGAGAACTCGATGAGTAAGTATTTATCTATGATACTGGCGTAGTTTGTAACTCATTTGGCAATATCCAGCAAGTTTTATATTCTAACGGAACATGCTTGGTATATTCTCCACCTTCCTTCAGAACAATATGCCCCCTTCTTTCGTGGCTTGTGGCTCAGGCATCGAGTCGCCCATCTTCTCGTGTCTATGGCCCTGGCTAGCCCACGGTTGACTTATGAAGACTTTGTTTCTTCCCTTCACATAACTCCTGACTCGCCCGATGAAGTTTCTGTTGCATTAGCCATCATCGGGCGTGAGCTCAATGAGAACGACTTACAGTCTGCCGATATTGTATGTATATCTATGTTTTCTGTTGTTGCATCGGTCTCTGACTGTCGAACAGAAATCTTATGTTTTTGCAACACTTGACGAGCTTCGAGATGACGGAATCTACGTTGCGCGCACTCCGGTGGTGAAGGACATTGTCGGGCAAGAAATGTCTTATCACTTGATGGAGGCAACTGCTCCCCCCTCCCGTTCGCGCACCCAGCGCCCGCCCCAGAGTCGTTCGTCGAGTTCCGGTAATATCGAGAAAGAAGTTCTTAAGCACAGGAACAAAACCGTCGCAACACCCGTCGTCGGAAGGGTTGCACAACGATTATTCGAAAACATCAAGGTTGCTGGAAAACTCATGGACGAGGACATGCATGTATCGGACGACGTGCCACGACATCCCTCTATCATACACGCCGCCAACCCGAACTCTGTGCAGTGGCTGGACCCTGTGGATGACCGTCCTGGCTTTTATGGTTCTGTTCTCGTGGACGAAGTAAAGTATTCAGTAAGTTCTTTTTTGCTTCTCGACAAAAATATTTTATTTGCCTCAGGTCGGAGATGCTGTCATGGTCGTACCTGGAGAAGACGAGGATACTGCCCGTGCGAAATCCTACAAGTACCAGCCCTCTCAGTCGACGAACAAACTCGCAAACGACTATTGGTGGGTTACGACCTTGTGCTCCTGCTATGTCATTTGTGACTATTTCACCTCAAAAGGTTTTGCATGATCCGGTACTTCTTCGAAGACGAGGGCGTCAAGAAGTTCCATGCACAGTGGTTCACACACAGCTCAAAGACTCTTCTCCAAGAAGCGGGACATCCACATGCGCTTTATCTGATGCTCTCCGAATGCAGTGACGTCGAAATTGACGCCATATCACAAAAATGTAATGTCCGTGAACTGCCAATGGACAGTTTTCAGCCAGATGAGTCAACTCTCGATGACGACAACGACTTTCACTATGGGTATGCAGCCTCTTTCAGCGGCGCTTCGTGTGACACTGAGCACGGCCCCGCAGACTTATGTTCAACAGCCTCGAGTCCAGTTTCGTTCGGCTTTCAGACTTGGAAACTCAAACACTTCTCAGCTTCTGTGACGACCATAAGCAGTGCCTCGCTTGCGGTCACAAGGAACGCGTATCGAATTTCACTGATTCACGAGCCCTTCGAGATGGCTTCTCTCATAATGATGTCAACTATCATAAGGGTGACTTCGCGTATATTTCAACGGGCCCTAATAGTGTCTATCAGATTGGTCAGATCGAGGATTTCAAAATTAAGAGGGGCAGGTGCATTGAAGTCATCACTCGACTCTTTGGGCGCTATAATGATATTGCCCGGGAAGTCGGCCGTGGCATTGATAAACCAAAAGGAGCCACTTCTGACGACGTAAGGGCACCGCATGCACCCTACTTTCTCCTTCTAACTCATGTTTCGTAGCGGCGCTTGTTCTATTCGAAGAGCCAGGAGAAAACAAGACCTGATAATATCCGCGGACAGTGTTTTGTCATTCATGAAATAGACGATACCGCTATCGATGCATGGGTCACTCACGACGATCACTACTACGTGAACGAGTGCGCCGATTCCATCGACGTTCGTACGTTCGATGACCTAAACCCATGGTCAGGAAATGAATTCCGGCACTGCGTTCAATGCCACAAAGAGCACAAAGCTAATTTAGTACGCCGGGCTCAACAATTGCAGAGGTTCGGTCCGCTTCGAGGGCTGGAACTTTTTGCTGGTCTGACTTTATTTTTTATTGCTGTGACTGATTTTAACATGTACTCGAAGGTGCGGGTGGCCTTGGAACCGGATTAGATATGTCTGGCTTTGTGGAGACAAGATATGCAGTTGAGTTTTCTCCAGGAGCAGCGAGGACTTACAAGTCGGTGTGCGTTTCATGCTCGACGCGCTTGTGTTGATGTTGTCTCAGGCAAAATCACCCTAATGTGACGGTGTACAATCAATGCACGAACGTATGCCTCCAGCACGCTATTGATGTCGCAGATGGGAAGAATCCTCGCCCTCTCCAAGCTTTAGGAGATAAGACGCGCCTACTTTCAATGCCTAAGCCGGGTGAAGTTGATTTTATTTATGGCGGTGCGTAATGATTCACGTCATCAGTGGTGATGTTTATCGTCTTTACTAGGTCCGCCATGTCAATCCTTCTCAAAGATGAATCACGCGAAGGTAAGGCTCAAAAACGTTTCCATACATTATAGTGACAATCTTGTTCCTAGAGAGAAGATGATATACGGTGAATACGACGTGCGATTGGTGTGTGTCTATACTAAACGATATACTGCAGGTCTACGCTTGTCTGCAACATGATCGCATACGTAGAGTTTTACCGGCCGATGTACTTCCTCTTGGAGAACGTTGGCGGAATCCTGGAGCATGCATTGAAGGAAAAAACTGTCGCTTCGGGCGTCGTGAAATTTATCATTGCCGCCCTCCTTGCCTTAAAGTATAATTTGATACATTTGCACTGTTCGATGCTGATCTTTTTGCAGCTACCAGATCGAATATAATGTTCTTCATGCAGGAAACTATGGTGCGCCTCAAGCACGCAAGAGGGTTCTGTTTGTGGCGGCCAGGCAAGGTGTTCCCCTACCCGATTTCCCGATCCCGACACATGTCTTTCCGCACGCAAGAGTACAGCGCGTCAAGTTGCCTACTGGTGCATACTTAGCACCTATATCACGCTTGAAGTACGGCGATAACAACACTGATCTCTCCGCTCCGCTACATTTCGTCACGATTCATGAAGCTATTGGTGATTTGGTATGGTTTTCAGAAATTCCCCTTTTGAAAACATATATTAACTTCAGCCTATTTTGTAGCCTCCGTTCGACTGGTATGCACTGTTGTTTCAAAATTTGGGAACCTGGCTTATTCAAGCTTGCATCCAGGATTAACCCACACACCAACATCTCGAAAACTTCTGCTGACAGAGCGGTGGAGCGCAAGCGTAAAGATGAGCTTGGGATCCCATCTTTTTCACCGCTGCATTCTGCAAGAACTTCAGAGGACCCATACGCTGGTTATTCGAAACCATGTCAATATCCTAGTGGGCCACTATCCCGTTACCAGAAGCTCATGCGACAAGGGAGCGAAAAGCTTCAATACCATTATACGAAACGCTTCAACGATATTATCATTGAACGGTACGTTTTTGCTGTCTATCCTGGATTGGTGCCCACTGAACCCCGAATTCAGAACTGTAAACGTGCCTCTGAGAGCGGGAGCTAATCATTTTGGTAAGCCAAGCTACATGATTTCTGGTTGTGTGGAATTCACTATGAAGGCCGTAGACCTACCAAAGGAACTGCACACTGGACTCTCGAGGCACGAGAACGCTAGGACGAAATACAAAGGCGAGACGCGATACGTTCATACTCACGTATTGGCTGATCCTTCGACAGCCGTCTATCAGCGACTGGATGCAAACATGTTCTTCTCGACTGCACTGACTACAGTGCTACCAAATAATAAGGGTGGTCAAGTACTGCATCCTTCGGTATGCATTCTAGTTATTGTGTTATTGTTCCTGACATTTTGTGTGTCAGCAAAAACGCATCCTTACGGTCCGCGAATGTGCACGTGCGCAAGGATTCCCAGATTACTACGAATTCGTCTCGGTGAACAAGGACAAGATGGCAAAGGCCATCGATGATGTAAGCCTTTATTGCGTG